ATTAGTATATAGGTTTTCATAGTAGTCTGTAATAATTCTTTGTATTTCTATGGGGTCCATCGTGATGTTTCCTTTCTCATTTCTTATTCTGTTGATGTGTGTTGATTCTCTTTTTGTCTTAATAAGTCTGGCTAGAGGCTTATGTATTTTGTTTATTTTCTCAAAGAACCAGCTCTTGGTTTCATTGATTTTTTTCTATTGTTTTATTCCTCTCAATTTTATTTATTTATTCTCTGATCTTTATTATGTCCTTCCTTCTGCTGACTTTAGGCCTCATTTGTTCTTCTTTTTCCAATTTTGATAATTGTGACATTAGACTATTCATTTGGGATTGTTCATCCTTCTTTAAATATGCCTGGATTGCTATATATTTTACTCTTAAGACTGCTTTTGCTGTGTCCCACAGAATTTGGGGCTTTGTGTTGTTGTCATTTATTTCCATATATTCCTTGATCTCTATTTTAATTTGGTCATTGATCCATTGATTATTTAAAAGCGTGTTGTTAAGCCTCCATGTGTTTGTGGGCCTTTTTGCTTTCTTTGTACTATTTATTTATAGTTTTATTCCTTTGTGGTCTGAAAAGTTGCTTGGTAGAATTTCAATCTTTTGGAATTTACTGAGGCTCTTTTTGTGGCCTAGTATGTGGTCTATTCTGGAGAATTTTGCATGTGCACTTGAGAAGAATGTGGATCCTGTTGCTTTTGAATGTGGTGTTCTGTAGATGTCTATTAGGTCCCTCTTTTCTAGTGTGTTGTTCGGTGCCTCTGTGTCCTTACTTATTTCTGTCTGGTGGATCTGTCCTTTGGAGTGAGTGGTGTGTTGATGTCTCCTAAAATGAATGCATTGCATTCTAGTTCCTCCTTTAGTTCTGTTAGTATTTGTTTCACATATGCTGGTGCTCCTGTGTTGGGTGCATATATATTTAGAATGGTTATATCCTCTTGTTGGACTGATCCCTTTATCATTATGTAATGTCCTTCTTTATCTCTTGTTACTTTCTTTGTTTTGAAGTCTATTTAGTCTGATACCAGTTCTGCAACCCCTGCTTTCTTCTCTCTGTTGTTTGCATGAAATATGTTTTTCCGTCCCTTGACTTTTAGTCTGTGCATGTCTTTGGGTTTAATGTGGGTCTCTTGTAAGCAGCATATAGATGGGTCTTGCTTTTTTATCCATTGTTACTCTGTGTCTTTTGATTGGTGCATTCAGTCCATTTACATTTAGGGTGATTATTGAAAGGTATGTACTTATTGCCATTGCATGCTTTAGATTCGTGGTTACCAAAGGTTCAAGGTTAGCTTCTTTAGTATCTTAGTGCCTAACTGATCTTGCTTATTGAGCTATTATAGACACTGTCTGGTGATTCTTTATTTCTTTCCCTTCTTATTCCTCCTCCTCCATTGTTTATATGTTGGGTGTTTTGTACTGTGGTCTTTTGTGTTTCCTTTAACTGCTTTTGTGGGTAGTTGATTTTATTTTTTGCCTTTAGTTAGTATTTGTTTGGTCTGCTTTCTTTGCTGTGATTTTATTTTCTCTAGTGACATGTGTTTAGCCTTAGGTGTGCTCCCATCTAGAACAGTCCCTCTGAAATACCCTGTAGAAGTGGTTTGTGGGAGGCAAATTCCCTCAACTTTTGCTTGTCTGGGAATTGTTTAATCCCTCCTTCATATTTAAATGATAATCATGCTGAATACAGTGTTCTTGGTTCAAGGCCCTTCTGTTTCTTTGTATGAAATATATCATGCCATTCTCTTCTGGCCTGTAAGGTTTTTGTTGAGAAGTCTGATGATAGCCTGATGGATTTTCCTTTGTAGGTGACCTTTTTCCTCTCTCTAGCTGCCCTTAAAACTCTGTCTTTTTCCTTAATCTTTGCCGTTTTAATTATTATGTGTCTTGGTGGTGTCCTCTTTGGGTTCCTTCTGTTGGGAGTTGTGTGTGCTTCTGTAGTCTGAGCAACTATTTCCTCCCCCAGTTTGGGGAAGTTTTTAGCAATTATTTCTTCAAAAACACTTTCTATCCCTTTTTCCTCTCTCTTCTTCTTCTGGTGCCCCTATAATGTGAATATTGTTCCATTTGGATTGGTCACACAGTTCTCTTAATATTGTTTCATTTCTGGAGATCTTTTTGTCTCTCTCTGCGTCAGCTTCTCTGTGTTCCTGTTCTCTGATTTCTATTCCATTAACAGCCTCTTGCACCTCATCCCATCTGCTCTGTGTCCTTCCAGATATTGTTATATTTCTGTAATCTCCCTCCAGACTTTATCCCTTAGCTCTTGCATATTTCTCTGAAGATCCATCATCATGTTTATCACCTTTATTTTGAATTCTTTTTCAGGGAGATTGGTTAGGTCTATCTCCCCAGATTCCTTCTCAGGGGAGGATGTCTGGGTTAGTCTGGTCTGTATCAAATTCTTCTGCCTTTTCATGGTGATAGAGGTAGTTGTGGGGAGCTGGCACGTGTGTCACTAGGAGAACATCCCTTCTTGCTGGTTTGTCGCCTTCCTCTCCTGGGAGAACAGTGACCCCTAGTGGCTTGTGCTATGCAGCTCCACACAGACGGGGTTTCTAATTCTTGCCCAGCCGCTGTGAAAGAAGCTCTGCCATGCTGCTGTGGTGTGGCAAGTCTCAGGCTGCTGCTCCAATATGGTGGAGCTGCGTTGGAGGGGGAACACGTTCGAGGCTGTTTATTGCTGTGAGGGGCCTCCGAGGTTAGGGTGCCTGGACTTCCCTGAGATTCCCAGCTGCTGGGTTAAGTGTCCTGGGATGCTTCCGTCCAGCTGTGGGGTCCCTGTCCCTTTAAGACTTTCAAAAAGCACTCACTTTTCTTTGTCCCAGGGGCACCGGCTGCAGGAACCCACCTGCAGGTTTTACTGTCCCGTTTCGCTAGTATCCAGCACCCCATGCACTGTGTGTCTGTCCTCCCAGTGCGGATGGGTATTTAGCAGTCCTGGGCTCCCTCTCCCTCCCCTCTCTGACTCCTCTCCTCCCACCAGGACCTGGGGTGAGGGCCGCTCGGGTCCCGCCTGGCCGGGGCTTGTATCTTACCCCCTTTGCGAGGTGCTGGGTTCTCGCAGGTGTGGATGTAGCCTGGATGTTGTCCTGTATCTTCTGGCCTCTCTTTTAGGAATAGTTGTATTTGTTGTATCTTCAAAAATATATGTGGTTTTGGGAGGAGATTTCTGCTGCTCTACTCACACCGCCATCTTGGCTCTTCTTCTTGGTCGTTACTTTTTTTGTATGACTTCTTTCACTCAGCATAATTATTTTGCAGTTCCTTCTTGTTTCTATGAGAAGTTCATTCCTTTTTATTACTCAGTAGTATTCCATTGTCTAGATATACTTGGTATTTTGGGGCATCTGTTGATCATTTGGGCTGTTTTTAGGTTTTGGCTATTACCAATAAAGTTATGAACATTCCTTGTAAATTTTTACGTGGGTGTATGCTTTCTTTTCTCTTGCTTTCACCCAAGAGTGTATGCTTTCACCTAGGAGTGGAATGCTGTATTCATATGCTAGGTGTATATTAAACTGTTGTGGGTTGAGTTTGTTCTCCTTGGTTCTTGTCCCGCTGAAAGAAAGAATTAAAAGACAGAGAAATATAGAGAAGCAGAGGGAAAGTTTTACTTGAATACACTTCGAGGAGTGGTCAGAGTCAAGTTAGACAAAGGCTCTGAGCTATTAAGAGAGGGTCTGTTTTCCACGACCTAGCTGGGAAGGGCCTCTTTGATTGATAGGGTGAGTTATTTGATTGACAGTTCTGGTTATACATCCATTCCTCTTGGTGCACCTGTCTTTTCCCAAAATGCGCACAGAAAAGCCCATTGGTGTGGGAGGGCAAAATCAATTATTTTATCAATGAGATTATGAAGAGGTGTGGGTCAGGATGTTTTTAGTTTTGGTCAGTTGTGCCTGGCGTGGGTTGGGACCTGTTTGGCCTGGTCCCAATAGGCAAGGAAGTTATCTCCCTGCAGATCCTTTGTTGTATTCAAGTGGGACTCCCTCACTGGTTGGTTTTTTACCTTGAACGTCATCTTCTCCTTTCCTGGCTGCTCATGTCTGTTTTTCTACCTAACAAAACTACTTTTTTGGGTTTTGCCAAAACTGCAAAACTCTTTTCCAAAGTGGCTGTATCATTTTACAGTTCTACCAGTAGTTTATGAGAGATCATGTTTCTTCACATCCTTGACAGTACTTGGTATGGGCAGTCTTAAATTTTAGCCATTCTAATAGTTTGTGTAGGAATATCTTATGTGGTTTTAATTTGCATTTACCTAATGATTAATGATGCTGAGCATCTATTCATGTGCTTATTTGCCATCTATATATCTTCTTTGGTAAAGTATACATAAAATCTTTTGCCCATTTTTATATTGGCTTTTTTGTTTTCTTATTAATGAGTTTGAGAGTTCTTTACATATTGTGGAAACAAGTCCTTTGTCACATATGTGATTTGAAAATATTTTCTCCTGGTTTGTGGCTTGTCTTTTCATCTTGGTAGTCTCTTCGGAAGGGCAGAATTTCTTAATTTTGATGAAATCCAATTCAGTTTATAAATTTATATACATGATTTTTAAGAATCTACCAGATAAGTCATCTTATTTTACCTTTATATAAGCATGAAGAACAGAAAGAGATGACAGTTTAGTTTTTATTGTTAGCAAGGATATGTTACCAATATTTATATCTTGAGAAACAAAAATGGGAGTTAAAATATTCTAACTAGGGCAGTCACTTATCAGGCAAGACAAGCAATTAAAAGAACATTTTTTAGGTACAGGTTAGAGTCACAGGACATAATAAGCTCTTTTGAATCCAGAGACTTGAAAGACTTGTTACAAATAAACATTTGTAAGGACAGTTTTATCATAGAAATAGAACAGGGTAATTACAGTTTTAACTTACCACACAGCCTCTGTACTTGACTTGTGGAGTTCTTTTGAATGCTTTCAGTTCTGTATGTTATCAGGGCAGGCGCTGTGACTCCGATGTTCTTCCCCCTGCAGCTGTAGGAGACAACCAGAGCATCTTTTGGAGATTCCTTTCCCTAGCACTTGCTGATTGGGCGGCCTGTGTACTGAAGGGTAAGCCAGAAATTCCTTTAACACTAACCCCATGGAGAAAAAACCAAGGCTGAGAAATTTAAATATTTACCTTGTGAAATAAAAGGAAAACTTATTTTAACAAATCAAATGTGGATAACGAATGTTTTGTTTTTTAAAACATACTTCAATACATATATACAAAAATGCATTACACACACACACACATATATACACACTTACATGAATAAAAAATATATATACATGCACATATATAATGTAGTTAACAGGTATATTTATCTTTTGAGATTTAAATATAATTGTCTTATGTTCCTAATCAAATATTCTGTAGAAATTTTTCACAAAAATGTTATGGTTATCTCTTGAAGTGAGTTCCCTTTCTGCTGAGCTCTTAGCTCCCATGGATATTCTCTTTTCTTGGCTTCTTGTCATTCCACATGTGGAATGTTCCCCTTTCCTATAATTTACCCCATATCACTCACAAAGCATTCATGTGTACATATAGTAGATTCTAATGAATGTTTGCGTAGATGAAGTTGCTGGGTGGTGGGAGGGTTGTAGCAAGATAACTATTTAAAGTTGAATGTGTAATAACCCTGTTCTTTCTCCACTTGCTCCTGCTCTTGTCTTTCAACATTTTTTTCTCTCTCTCTGCGTGTCTGTTTCTTCTGTATGTCCTGGTTTCTTCTCTGTTGCCTCTCATCCTGCTAGTATTTACAAACTTAGGAGAGATTTAGGATATCTGATTCACTGTTTCTTTATATACCTCATTTGCACAGGCAGAAACCTTAATGTCAGCTGGTTAAAAAACAAACAAATAATGTTTTGTTAAATCTACAGTAATGTGTGTGCAAAAAAATGCTATGACATTTATACATGTTACTCTGAAACTTGCTTTTATTTTATTTTTTGACTTCACATTATATTGTGAATCTTCTATGTCAGTTGAGTATATAAATATAATTCATTTAACCATTCCTTTTACTGGACATTTAAGGTGTTATTGCTATATTTTAGGAATCATCTTTTTAGCTTTTTGAATGTGTGAGAATTTTTATTAGATTTCTAGAAGTGAGTTTTGGGTCAAAAGGCATGTCCATTTTTATATCTTGAAAGATACTGCCAGATCTGTTTCCACTAGTAGTCTATGCAAGTATTTATTATCCCTTACTCTCAGTAGTACTGGATACTATATTATCATGTTAATTTTAATTTTTACTAACATGATGACATAAAGTGGTATCTGATTATTGTTTCAGATGTCTTTTTAATAGAATTACCTATTCTTTCTGTAACCCTAAATTTAATATAGACACTAATGGTGTGCATTAAAACATGTTAGTTATTTTCCAAGGAGATACAGAGATTTTTGATCCTCTATTCTTTGGGCCATAATTTCATACTAAAATCTTTGTAAAATTATCCAATAGAAACATTGTATTTTAAGATAGAATGTTATTTCTCCTTTTCCACTTCATTTGAATGAATTTCAAATATACATTAATAGATAAAATTATGGTGATGATAAAGATGGTAGAGATTCTGTTATTTTGCTTTTTGGGTACATTATAACCCTCTTTTACATTTCTAGGGGAATCAATTTTACTCTTAATAGGTCTCATCTTCCTAATGAGATTACATAATGTTTACAATGGTCAACTTTTAAAGAACATATAGGGTTGTAAGACTGAGCTTTAAGATAGTTAGCAAGAGATAAGGAGGTCCTAACCCTCTCCTTGAGAATTCTGAAAGAGTTCAGAGAACCAGATCATAGTTGTATTCTCAAAGTACTTTGAAGCTAGCTTTGAGCATTACTAAGTTTTTAATGTGTGGAATTGGAGTCCTAACTCTTAATACTGGTGCGTATTCTCACTGGATTATAGTTTCTAACTAGTTTTTTAAGAAAATCAAAACAGAACAATTATATGAAGTAGGTTGCTTATTTCTCCTTAGTTACTGTGGTGTATAATGTCTTTTTCTCTTGTAATTTCTGTCTTTATCTTTTTAAAAGAAGAAATATTATTGACACTCTGTATTTACAGAACACTGATAATCCTTGCCAGTAGTGTAGAAATTTACCCTCTTCAAAGCTGTTTGAAATTTATCTCATTTGTTTCCCAGAAAAACATTTTAGGTAATATTGTTGTCACTGTTAGAGGAATACTGACTTAAGTCTGTATCACTTAGGTCAGTGAACATTAATAACCAAATTATTGGTGAAAAAAGTAGGATGTAGGGATGTATTGTTTTCACTACAATTAATAGTACTGAAGATATTTTTAATGACTTAAGTTAAAGAGAAAGATTAATTAGGAGTAAAATGTGGTTCTGATTATGGTAGGATATAGTGTATATAGATACACCCAGAGGACATATGATAGAATGTCAAATATATAGAAAGGTCCTACAGTAATACAAAAATCTGTTTATATGACATAAAAGGATATCAACAACTTTTTAATGATTTATAAGCTTAGAGCATCTGGTCCTTTGATATCATTAACAACTTTGCATGCAGTCCAAATCTCACAATCCATATGGCAGTCATTTGTGTATACATGGTAGAAGATATCTCAAAAATTACTATAGATTTGTGAGTTCTGGCAGGTATTAAGTTTGTGTGAATAATATATTGATCACCTTGTAAAATAACAGGCGTACTTTTCCCAAACGGATGCTTGCAGAGGTGATTGTGATTGAAAAAAATATGTAGTTCTTGTTTTTACCCTCTGTAGTTGATCAGAAACATTTTAAATACATATATTCTCTTAGTGTAAGACCCATTGAGATAAAGATGTTGAAGAAAAATTATGTAAATGGTTAGATGTAACTATAAATTTAACTGTAAATATTCAGTCTTACTTGATACTGTAATCTTTGGTTTACTGAAATCTGGATACTCCTTCCTGGTTTACATTATTTGATCTGTTTTCAAGTATAAGTGGATTATAGTTGTTATATATTCAAGTGCTTTATGGTTTCAGCTATACATTCACACAGATGTACCTGCTTATACTTCAATCACCTTAAACATATTTATAGAGTTCCTATTATGTTTTAGATACTGTTCAGCACAAAGGACTTAATTTTTCTTTTGAACATTTAATAACTGATATTTCAAGTAGCACATTTGCAGCTACTGTTCAGTATTTCATCAAATTAAATAATATATTTTCATAAATTATTTTATTTTTCAGTGGATCACTAGATACAGCATAAAATTTACAGTGTAAGAGGATCACTTGATATAGTGTAAGGTATATAGAAAAGGTATTATATGATCATATGATACCTTGTTAGACTATATATTAAGTGGTGAATTGCACAAAACAGAAACAGGAAGAAAGAATTAGGTGAATCATTAAGAAGAATTTAGGATTATCATGAACAATCTGATATAATTTTGAGTTTAGTTTGGGTTAAAAGTAAATATTCCTAATTAATCATTTTGATCTCTTGATGATCTGAGTTGATAATCTACTTTATGGATAATTAGGACACATTTAAAGAATTTCTCAAATTTATGTTGATAGATCTGACATACCCTGCAGCCCATTGTTATATTTAGTTAACTAGATAAAAATGTATCTCCTTTTAAACTCACGTTGGTATGCCTCAATATATTGTACAGCAGTATATAGCATTTCATTCAACTATATGAGAGGAGAACTATAAGGCATGATAATAAGCTTTAGAGAAAGAACCATTAGAGACATTCTAGTCCTTGTGTTTTAATTTGATTCTCAGTAAATATCAAATTCTAAAAACTGAACTGGTCGAGATAGTGAAATTATAGTGTCCCGTTTTCCCCAAATTTGATTGTTTATTGCTGCTTCATTGTTTTTATTATGTTTTGTAATGTAATTTAAGATTTGACGATGTTGGATTGTTAAGCATACTTAGCCTGTAATGTATGTGCTTATCTGTTTGGTATCTTTCCTCCTTTTTTTCATTGTTTTGAATTTTGCAGTGTAAAGGAACATTACAGGTTGTTGATTATATTGTGGCTATCAGAAAATACAGGCAAAGTATCTTAGAGAAAATATATAAACTGGTATTAGAAATTTTAACAATCTGTTATAAATAATTATAAACAATTTGTATTTGCATATTATATTTTATAATATATTTAAATCTTGAGAATATAAAATTTATGTGAATACATAAATACTTGGGTAGAGATAGAGCATTCATCTATCTTATACTTTTGAAATAGCTTTTATTTTTTTTTTTAGCTGGAATAATTGGAGTAACGAATTCCCTATATTGCCACATATTTTATTAAGTTAATTCCTTTGATTTTTTTTCCCAGACCGCTTTTGTTATCCATACCCTATGTGATTTTATTAACATGTAACATCCTGTCTTGGCTCTTGTATTTCTAAGGAGAGAATTAATGTTTTTTTATACCCTCTTTAGAAAGTGACTGTTCTAGTTGTTTTTGTCTTACCATTTCCAGATTCATCTCTTTTCATCTGAGAATTAAAAAGCTGACCTATATACAGTATGATAGGCTCAGATGCACCATAATGTTTGTTCTCCAGAAGAACTATGGAAGTATAAATATTCTTTGCAGAAAATACTGCTTGCTGTTTATGACTTGGAACTATTCTTACTTAATATGGAAAATTTTCTAACCTGTGATGAGAAATGTTGCTTGTTCACTCACTGGTAATTCCTTTTTTAAATGAATAATGTGAAAAATTCTTAAATTCTCTCAGTGGCTATTACATATTGTAGCTCATAGTTTGATATTTTCATATTTGAGTTCCTTCAGAACTCCTGAGTGTATTTTTTTCAATCCTATTATTTAAGTTCAACAGCCAAGTTTATTTTTCTGTGTTAACAACACGACAGTTTTATGAGTTGCGATTGCATGTTAGAAAATAATTTAGTATGCATTACATCATTTCATTCTTTTAGTAAATTGTAAGGTGGTTTGAATAAATATTATTAATAATGTCATATCATAAACAAGGAACCTGAGGCTCAGGGTTATTTACCAAATATGAAAAAGTAAGAA